AACCCGGGGCCTCGGTGTTATCAGCACCGCACTCTCCCGAGTGAGCCACGGGCCGGCCCTAGAATTCATTTTTTTAGAAAGAATTCTAACAAAATATCTATTAATGGTCACCTCTGTGGGTCATAGACAGCTACTGAATACAAGCATCACATGGGTCAATTCCCATCAGCTTTAAGATAAGTGAGCAACTACTGGCCCATCTGACAGATGTGAAAATTGAGGCTCAGAAGCAAAGCTGGTTATCCCCAATCCCCCCATGTCTGTCTTGTTCCAGAACCAAAACGACCATTAGGTCAATCCATGGCTCATACAAACCCTTTGGATCTCATGGGGTGGGTAGGCTGAAGTCTCCACAGCCCCCACAGAACCCCCATCTCGGTCCCATCCCTGACTCCCCCAAACTCTGCCAGCCGCCTTCACCCCGAGCCTCACCGCACTCCTTGATGGGCTCATCTGACCAGTCCCGGCAGTCCCTGACTGAATTGCACACTTTGTCCAGGGTGATGCACTCGCCGCTGTGGCACTTGAACTTGTTGGGCCCCTCACACAGTGTCACTATGAGAGCCAGAGAGAAAAGGGTCAGCTGCAGGAGCCTGCATGGCACTCTTTAACATAACAGTTCCTCCATACAAGAATATACGCAAATCAATTCATTAATACAACATAATAAATATTCATTGACCACCCAAGAACTCACTACCCAGCTTAAGCNTCATTAATACAACATAATAAATATTCATTGACCACCCAAGAACTCACTACCCAGCTTAAGCGTTAGAATGTCACCTAGAGCCAGAGTTAGCAAACTACGACCCACGAGCCAAAACAGCCCACTGCTTGTTTATTTAAACAAAGTTTTGGGCCGGCCAGTGGCTCACTTGGGAGAGTGCGGTGCTGATAACACCAAGGCCATGGGTTCGGATCCTATATAGGGATGGCCAGTTAGCTCACTGGGTGAGCGTGGTGCTGACAACACCAAGTCAAGGGTTAAGATGCCCTTACCGGTCATCTTTTTAAAAACATTAAAAAATAAAAAAATTAAAATAAAAATAAATAATAAATAGATAGATAGATAAATGTTTTATTGGCACACAGCCATGCCCATTTATCCAACCTAGACTGTTATAGCAGCCTTTTCCCTACCCACCCTGCTACCCACAGAAGTCACAATACTCCTGAACTGGATTGACCATCTTCCTATTTTTTCATTAACAGTTTTATTAAATGTATATTGTTTAAATTTGCTTGTTTTTGAGCCTGGCAACATAACTCTATCTAGTAATCACCTGCAACTGGCTTCTTGCACCCAGCGCTAAGGTTATGAGGGTCGTCTATGCTGCACCTGGTGGCTGGAACCTCATTTCCTGGCTGTGTGCTATGTGTGATCACACCCCACATTAACATTTATTCTAAACTCTCACGTTCATAGCAGCATTATTCACAATGGCCAAAAGGTGGAGGTGAGTGGATCAACACAAGGTGGTCCATCCATACAATGAAATATGATTCAGCCTTAAAAAGGAAGAAAATCCTGACACACACTATAACATGGATGAACCTTGAGGACATTGTGCTCAGTGAAATAAGCCAGACACAGAAGGACAAATACTGTACGATTCCACCCATAGGTGGTCCCTAGAGTCGTCAGATTCAGAAACAGAAAGTAGAATGGTGAGTGCCAGGGGCTGCGGAGGCGGATGGGGGATGGGGAGTGAGTGTTTAATGGGGACAAAGTTTCAGTTTGGGAAGATGAAAAAGTTCTGGAGACGGATGGCTGTGTAACGGCTGCACAATGTGAATGTGCTTAATGCCACAGAACTGTGCACTTAAAAATGATGAAGGGGGGGCCCGCCCGGTGGCGCACTGGATAAGTGCGCCGCTTGGGAAGCGCGGCAGCGCTCCCGCCCGACGGTTCGGATCCCACATACAGACCGGTTCCCGCTCACTGGCTGAGCG